TTAATTAAGAAAAGTTATTTATTTTCATTCTTAAATAAACTTATTTTCGCGTAAAGTGTTTTTTTATTTAGAAGACCTATTTTTTATTTTGGTATTTATTAGATTTTTGATCAATTATAGTTATTTATTACACAAGACGATAAAGATAAACAATCTTTATTGTCGTGTATAATATTTCGTTTTATTTTGTACTCACCTACCAGTTTCTTGAATATAAACAGTAGATAAAAATTACTTTATTTCACTAGACGATAAAAGACTACTTTATTTACTGAAATTAGTTGATAAAAGCACTCTTTAACATTGAGTACAAAATAAAATTATTTTTTTTAAGTCAAACTTCCGTTTTTATTTTTTCTGCACATTTTCACTTGTTTGAATCAAAAATAAACTACTGTTTTTTGATATTTTTAACTAAGAACAGTTATTTATTTACTTACATTCTTTAATAAACTTTTCTTGATAAAATATTTTGCCAGTTTTTATTAAAGGACAAAGCTTATGTAAATTTCAAATGCCTAAACAACAAATTGAATAGAAAACTCTTATGGGTTTTAATTCTCCAACAAATGAGTTTTAATAACAAAAAACTTCTTATTAAAAAAAGTTAAAATAAACAGAAACAGCCATTACCCAACTGTATTAAATTTATTGGAAAGAGTGGTTTATTTAGATTTGAAGTTTTTTTAAATTTAATTTTTTCCATATCTGCAGTGCGCATTTTTATTGGGATTTTTAAAATGGGTCTTTAAGAGAGCATCGCGAGTTCATTTCAGAATCTAGATTAATGCACGTCTGTGCGGAATCTTCCGGTTGAAAAATCAGCCAATCACTTTGTAAAGATTTAAAGAAACACTTTTCTAGTTAAACGTAAAAGAATGCCACAACTAATCCATTACCCTCTTGTTGAGTAAAATTTATTCGGTTTGAATCGAACTCTCATTTCTTAAAATAATTGGGAATTGGCTGTATAATTGATGTACGTATTGTCGGGTAATTGTGACTGACAATCGATTTTAGTATAATTACACTCACATTAATTATCAATGAACAAATTTGTTCTCTTCTGTAATTAATTAATAAAACCAAATTCGGAATAGAGGTGGATTTAGAAATAAATTTCTGCAGTTTTCGGACATTTCTAATAAATAACACGGCTTAATTGCGAGATTTTCCGGATGACTCGATATCGAAATAACGCAGAAAGCCTTTTATTGTGTCTTTTGTCAGCTGATTCGATTTCTTCGAGTTTTATTTGTCTCATTTTGTAGGGACATTTGTGTTATCGTTTTCACGATCAAACGGTGACTTTTAATTCCTGTTTGGTCACATAACGTGACAACTTGACAAATTTTATATCATTTTGTTCGTCTCAGAAAGACAAGTCAAATGCACTAAAAAAAATTCAAAAAGTCCACACATTTTGAACTAAATTTTTTTCTAATTTAAATGAATTTAAAATACTTTAACTTTAAAAAATCATTACTCAATAACTATTAGGCCGATTTCCTTCAAATAAAGACCATTCTAAAGGGATGGACTTGCCCTTTAGAATGATATGCAATTTGAAATTGAATATTGGCAAACTTTGCTTCGAACAGTGTTCGAAGAAGTTCGAAGTAATCTAAGAAAAACTCTACGAGTAAATTTTTTTTCTTCGTAACCATCGTGTAGAGCATCTTTTTATTAGTAAGAATCCAAATTTTTAAAATAATATACCGAGTAGTTTTTAAGATATGATTTTTTGAAGTTAAAGTTTGCTATTCAGGTATTTCGCCATATAGGAGAAATCCATGTTAATCTTACTAAAAATTGCATTTTTATAAAAGTATTTGTTTTAAGGCTCTTCTTTTGCTTAAAAATGGTCAATTGCATCTTCTTTGTTCTAATTACAATAAACAAAAACTGTTTCTTTACTTAAAACAAACAAAGAGTACCTGCGTACTAATTGAAGCAAATAAAGAGTTTTTTTGTTCTAAAAATGATCACTGATCATTGAGCAAAAAGGATCTGGAAGTTTAAAGCAGTAGCTTTAAATATAAGAACAAATCTTTTTCAGATTAAATCACTTTCCATTCAGATTCCAACTTGTCACTTTGTTCTAGCTTTCTGAACTTTTTTTTGAAAATGTTCTCAGCAAATGCTTTCTCATCACTTTCTACTGATGTTGAATGCAATAAGTCAGTTGCTTCGTGTGCAACTGTAATCGTAGAATGTACCAACAAAATAAATCAGGTGACTTATTGCATTTAACATCACTCGAAAGAGATGAGAAAGCATTTGCTCAGAACATTTTTCAAAAAAAGTTCAGAAAGCTAGAACAAAATGAACAAGTCGAAATCTGAATGGAAAGTTATTTGATTTGAAAAAGATTTGCCTTTATATTTAAGGCTCGTGCCTTAAACTTCTAAATCCTCTTTGCTTAATGATCAGTGGTCATTTTTACAACAAAAAAACTCTTTTTTTACTTTAATTAGTACACAGGTACTCTTTATTTGTTTTAAGTAAACAAACAGTTTTTGTTTATTGTAATTAGAACAAAGAAAAGGTGCAATTGACCATTTTTAAGCAAAAGAAGAGTCTTAAAACAAATACTTTTATAAAAATGCAATTTTAAGTAAGATTAACATGCATTTCTCCTATATAGAGCAATGCTTGATTAGCAAACCTTAACTTCAAAAAATCATATTTTGAAAACTACTCGGTATATTATTTTAAAAATTTGGATTCTTACTAATAAAAAGATGCTCTACACGATGGTTACGAAGAAAAAAAAATACTCGTAGGGTTTTTCTTAGATTATTTCTTTTTACTTCGAACTTCTTCGATCACTGTTCGAAGAAAAGTTTGCCAATATTCAATTTCAAATTTTATATCATTCTAAAGGGCAAGGCCATCCTTTTAGAATGGTCTTTATTTGAAGGAAATCAGCCTAATAGTTATTGAGTAATGATTATTTTATTTAAATTAGAAAAAATTTTTTTGTTAAAAATTTTTTTAGTTCATTTGATTTGTCTCACTGAGACGAACAAAGTGATACAAAATT